TTTTTTTAAACTGCCCATGATGTTGATGGCTGCCTCATGGCATTCTAGAAGATTCATTTCACTTTTAATTGGGACTCCTTTGCAGAGACTGCCATTAGGATCATTGTCACAGAACCCCCTGAGTGTGTCTCCCATTTTGCTGTTTAGGAGATGTTTGCTGTGAGATCTCTCAACTGTGCTGTTCCAGGAATTTTGAGCCTTTCCAGTTATGGTCATTCGCACTTAGTCAAGTCCCCCCACTGGCAATGTTGGTTACCAGCAAGATGCCACTGTTCCGACCGTGAGTGCATCCATAATATCTTTCTCTTATTTGCTAGGCAGAAGATGGTGTTAGTGATTGCGAGCTGCCGGCTGGCACCCTGGCAGAGCAGGAGTAAGTGAGTGCTGTTCAGCTTCCGGTCCTGTGAGTCTGATGCCTTTTCCTCCATGTTTTGGCATCACTGCCAAACACATGCATTGAAATCCTTCATGATCATCAGTTTGTCAGATGATTATATTGTTGCAAAGAGTCTGTCCAGGTCCTTCGTATCTTTTTTTTTTTTTTTTTTTTTTTTTTTTTTTTTTTTTTTTTTTTTTTTTTTTTTGTCACCTTAGTGTATGTCCATTGTGATGGGGACAGAGGCATTGATGTTGGAAGAAGGCACAAATGTATCAAGGCAAGACTAGTGATTTTAGGTGTGGTGAATGATGACAAACTGCTCAGAGGGAAAGCTTTTCCAGAATGCCGGTGGCGTCAGCCCTGTGCTGCACGAGCTGTTGTTCAACAAACGACGTTTGGGCCCAGTCCTGTGGTGCCGCGTGTGTTCTCCACAGTTTACTCGTTATTATTTTTTTATTTTTCTGTGGATTGCTTTATAGCGTGGTGTGCTGTTGCTGTCTGCCACACCTATGTTACAGGGTAAGAGGAAGTTTTCCATTTGCTTGCACAGTGCATCACAGAAGTATGAACCCCCGAAATGCAACAAACCAATGAGGTGGTGGGCAAAAGGTGGGCAATCTCGGGAGCACCTTTTCTACTGTCTTCCTCTCCGTGGGAGTGAGTACCGCAGCCCTGAGCAAGACCCGTATGCATGGCCGGGAGACAGGCAGAGAACGCCGTGGAAAGGAGGTCCCACCTGTTGGCATTGAACTGTGGAATTGGGCCCCCGCCATCCTCAGACTCAGTTGTGTGGCCTGTAACAGAGAAGGGTGACTTGGAGCCATCTGACCCGGTCTGTACGAGAACGGTCGTTACGCTTTATGACCGGGACCGAAAGACAGACCCCGTTGTACATCTTCCTGTATCTGCATCTACCTTGTTTGCTGTTGTTGAGTGAGGCCCTCACATTTGCTGTATTGTTTGAGTCCTTTACTTCTAAATCTGGTGTCATGGCCAGAAATTCTCTGTGTACTAAAGAGCATTTCAGCATTAAGTCCTTGAGGTAACAATTTATTTTATCGGAAGGTATGTGTGGCTGCATATGTGGCTGACAGTGGTGGTCACAGCATCGTCTGTTAATTTGGCGAACGTTTAGAGTCCACCCCGAGTGAGATAGCCAGGCACTTTCTCCCTCTGTAGAAAAGTACTTCTGCAAATTGCCACGGTAGTTAAAATACCACAGGGAGGCTAGCTTTGGATGTGTGAGGTTACCGCTTATGGTCCCAGGTCCTTTGTCCCTTTGCATAGAAAGTGCCCACTTGTAGTTCCGGAATGGAAACTTGTACAGAAGGGGACAGTGAGAGAGGAGGATCCTAATTGCAAATATAAGTGAATTTGAGCTTAATCTGCCCATATTCAGGTTTATGTAATATTTCTCTTCTGGTTTCCTTACAAAATGTTGTTTTTCACTGGGCTACTAGTTAGGTGTATTCTGCTAAGAGATTTCACATCTAATAAATCCAAGGTAAGAAGGACTGTAATAGGTTAGACTGTTTTCCCGCAGAGTAGGGGGATGCATTCGTCCTCTTAGAATCCCCAGAGCCCCAGCATTTATTATGAGTTGAATTTAATTCCAGCATGTTTAGGTACAAGAAAAACATTTACCAATGAAATGAAATTGTTGGAAAAAATGGTTTTTATTAAGGAAACCTGATTCCTAAGCATGGAAACCGAAACCCTTAAATTCCGTTCAGTTAAGTCACGGGCTTTGGGGTCAATACTAATGATTTGGATGATCATCAGAAATGTCAAATGGCGAGTGATTGAGTTGTAGCTTTTTCTTTATCCCATGAAATAATCATCGGTATTGTTACTACATAACTGATCCACTTTGCATTAGGGCGATCACTCAGCTGACATGAATTTCCTGTGGTAAATTGGTACGGTACCCAAACGATTAAGCCCTCCGTTGCGTTTGACTGCCTCCCCTCCCCCCTCCCTTAGTCTTGGTTCAGGGTTTTTATGGTGTATGATAAATGAGCTGTTAACTAATTTTGTGTCGAAGTGAAATAGAAATTTGGATTATTGGAATTTATTATTTGGGGGCATCTGGCTCATCCTTGTTTTTGTTTGTTAAACAGGAAAAGGACCAGCGCAGCCTAGACATAAACACTGCCAAGTGCATGTTGGGACTGTTATTAGGAAAAATCTGGCCCCTTTTTCCAGTTTTTCACCAATTCTTAGAGGTACCAAATTGCTATTTTATGGAATGTATGTTTGCTTGCTTAGAACTACCAAGTATACTTTATTTAACCATTTCACGTAATTTTGTCTGTTGTACTTTTCTGCCTTTAGGAATTATGGTGACGTGTAATTGCTGTCCGTGAGCAGTTACCCGTTTTCTTGGGGTGTGTCTGTGTGTGGGGTCATGTGTCGCATGGCTCCCCGGCGCAGGTGCAAGCGAGACAGCTGGAGCTCTGTCCTTTCCTTTCTCTCGCCCCGCTCGGAAAGCTTTACTGCTGTCAGGATTTCCTACTCTGCATGAGCAAGATTCACTTTCTTTTGTGGCTCTAGATGAATTTCCACTTTGAGTGAGCAAAGGTTAAAAAACAGCCTTCTGCCTTCTTACTAAAAGAAGTTTGTGATATATTGTTGTCTAGTCTAGATAGATAAGAGATCTGTCTTCTCTCCAGGAACTTGGGGACCTAGACCAACCTGAGCGTTAGGTGCACTGGCAGTATCCCCCTCAGTTTCCACTTGCTTTACGTCTGCGTTAGAAAAACGCCAGCGTTTCACTCCATCGTTGTTTGTTTGCTTTAAGTGTTAATGATCACAAGTGCTGAGCTGCTGGTTCTCAGGAGCTGGTTTTGATGCTGTGTGATGCTGTAGGACCTGCGAGTATCGGAGATGCAGGTTTGAGCTACTTGGGTTGTCCTACATGGCATCCTTCTTGCCCTCCAGCCCCAAACCCTTTAAAAGGTGCCCTTTGCTTGAAAGGATGAGGGTGCCGAGTCCTTGAGGAAAGCTCGGGCCGTACCCTGACCGGCTTCACTCCTGCCGTAAGCTTCTGTGCAACCCACTTTTTGTATGGGTCCGGAAACACTTCCAGCTGATACGATTCTTTGAGGACTGTTACTAAAAATTGCTTTTGATGTTCCTAACCAGGACTCCTCAAGACAGGTCTAAAAACTCTAGTTTTACTGTGAGAAGTGTCTGTTTACATGGCAATCCATGTCTGCAAATGGTCTGTTCTAATTTCTCTGGCCATCCCATGACATGTTAGCTTTCTTTGGAAAATGAGTAGAAATAGGTCCTTGTTCTTGGAGTTGAGGAGACTGAGCCTGAGTGGGAGGTGCGTTTTAGCTGAGAGACCTTGCCGCGGGCAGGTCTGACTGCACAATTCCAGAAGCATCTTCAACTGTTTCCGTGACCGATGTTTGCTTTGCACTGCTTAGAAAGTTCAACTTGTAGTCTGTGCTTTGTTCTCTCTTTTACATTAGTTTGCTTTTTTTCTTTTCAAAGGACACAGCGATCCTTTCATTTGAGTTTCTCTTGTGTTTGCATCCTCAAAACCATTGGCTCAGCTCTTTGGTTTTTGATGTACTTGTATATTTTTCCGGTGTTCCTGATTTTTAGTGGTTAGGATTCCAAAGCCGTTGAATCTGGGTTTTAGTTTTCAGTCTTTCTACAGGAATCGTGTACTTTAAAATATACCTGCGGCATATTTCTTGTCTAAGAGGAATAGAAAAACCACTTCATGGGTATCCTTGATTTGTTACTTTTGTGATCAGATTCAAGTTTTGAATTGTTAGAACAGTAACTTTCTTCAGTGGCTGGACAGAGCAGCTAGCTCTGAGACCGCTGGTAGCACTTCGTAAGTTCTCGTAGAGTAAGTCGCTGCTGTGTGTACTTTGTGCTGACACCCGGCAGTGAGCCGTGCCGCTCAGGACAGCGTTACTCGTGGGAGTGGCTCTTTCTCTGGCCCCTGCTTTCTGCCAAGCACTGAGTGAAGTACTTTACATGAATTCTCTCTTTTAATTCTTGCAGTATCTCTGTGAAGTAGGTTAATTACCTCTTTTTTGTAAAAGGACTTCTGCAGGTTAGGAATTTCACTTCTAGGGACAAAAATCACGTTTCTTTGATGTGCTTGTCATTTTGTGTTGAGCCCTCATAATATTTTCCTAATGCAAATTGTCATCTTCAGTCCTCTTGCTCTCTCTCATCCTTGTCCTAGATTGGTGCTTAACATCCCTCAAGTGGAAAGAGTTAACCTTCGTGAACTTGATTATGTTGATTCATACAGCAGTTGAAACCGTGCCATTTGTTAATTCTGAGTGTCGGTAATTCATATTACTTTTCCCTCCATCAGCAATCAAAATATAAAGTTATTAACAAAGACCAGTGGTGCAATGTGCTAGAGTTTAGCAGGACAATTAACCTTGACCTCAGCAACTACGATGAAGATGGAGCGTGTAAGTACCGGCGCTGGGCGCCCTCACACCCCCGCCACCGTGCATTCGCACATCCATCCCCCTGTGAGGAAGAGCCTCATAGCCGTGTTCTTTTCTCTCTCTCTTTAGGGCCAGTTTTGTTGGACGAGTTTGTGGAGTGGTATAAAGACAAACAGATGTCCTAGGACTTTATGCATAGCAGCGAGAGAGTCACTGTTACCACAGATATGTCAACCATTAGCCATAAATTGCTGTTTGTATCCAAGCGCATGCTGCTTTTCTTGCACTGTCTCCCTTCTGCAGGGACGTTGTGGTGTTTGCTATTGAACGGGTCAGCTCTGCTTGCTGTGTAGCATTGTTCTCTTGGAAGGCTGCTTTGCGGTTTGTATTTACACTACAGATTGGTGAATTTGCCAACGTCCTCACTGTGATGATGTGTATATTGCTGTTTAAATTTTGTATATGTGTATAAAAAGAAAAAGCTTCACCTAGAGATTATTTCTGCAAAACTGTATTGTAAAAATAATTTTTGTGGCATATTTCTTAGTCCCTTTTTTCAGACGAACCAATTCTACTTTATTTGGTCTCAAATGTAGCATTTCAGAAAACAAGAGAGAACAACTGTTACCACAAGCAAATGTTACCTGAATTAACCTTCTTGTTTAAGAGGCCAACTTTCGTGAAGCAGGTGGGAGTCATAAATTTTCAGAGGCATATACCAAATATAATTTGGTTTACTTAAATATGAGCGCTTTTAAACGACGGAAGTTCTAATTACTTGAACATACAGACACGCACCATGCCACAAGCCTTTCCACCATGCGAGGTGTAGGATTTTATCCTCTGAGGTTAAAGCCGGAGTAGTTCGAATATAGGTACACGTGAACAAATGAAAATCGCACGTTTTGAAAAGAGCTTGAAACTCTCGTAAACTTCCTTTAGCGGTTCTGTTTCTCCTTTTGCATTCTCCTAGTCAGTGTTGGGTCTGCCGATGCTTCCCGTGCCATTCGAAGTAACCTTGATTTCGCCTCCTCCGTGGAAGCCGAATGGTTCGCTGGCAGTTTGTCACCGCAGAGCACTTTTAGTTGTGGTTTGGATTTTCAGTTAAGCTTTCACGGTGTCTAATTTTCTAGTTTTTTGGAAAAAGAACTCTACTGTAAGCGAGAGGTTTCGTTTCGTTTCGTTTTGTTTCTCTCATGCTAGGCTTTCCCTGGCAGAATGTCCATTGCAGGCAGTGGACACGAAACCACCAGCATTGAGCTAACTTTATTACGCAGTAGGACCTTTCCTGGAGGGGCCACTCGTCATTCATTACCTGGGTAATTTGTACAGAAAGGTGATAGCCATTATTTATGTGGATGAGGAAACAAGAGTAAACAGGACGGTATTTGGGGGTTTGTATGCTGTGTCTTTTTTTTGCCCCCCCCCCCCCCCCCCACCCTTGCCTTACCCTTCTTGAGGAAATTTTTAGGTAACATGTTTCCCCTCAACTAACTGGTGCTATTGAATGCCTGATTTAGTCCCTAAAGTTTTGTGAAAACGTAAAAGTCTAATGATATAAACCAAGTAAAAAGCTAATGGTGCATTTGAACAAATGAATCCTATAGATGTGAGCAGGATCCATGATTAAATAATGATTGGAAGAGGTTTGGGTTATTTCAAAATCTGGCCAAAAAAATCTTTTGGATTAAATGTGAACCTTTAAATGGCATTAAATGAGTGAAGCACACAGACGATGCTACTCTTGACCACTATTTCACAGTTTATTTGCAAACAGTGTTCAGATTTTCATATTATTTTTTTCCCTAACTGAACCACCAAAGACAGAAATTTTGTATGTATATACGGTGTGTGTGCATATACAAAATCATGATATGGTAGAGTGAAATTACTTCCTTTTTCTACCAAATAGAAATGTTTGGTTTGCTGTGAAATAAACCAGAAGTGTGAAAAACTCTGTAGTGATTAAGCATACTTGATCATTCCTTGCTTAGGAATTGTAGACTCACTTCTACCTTACAAATTCATACCAGTTTGCACAAATTAATACCTGAGAAGCATAGAAGGTGTTGATGGCAAGCACAGCTCTTGGGACCGATGTGTTGCAAGGGGTTCCGTTCCAACGGGTGCCTGTTACTCCAGTGGCGATTGGCCATCGCCAAGTCTGAATTGGTGAAGAGCTTGATTTGTTTCCAAAAGTATCCTGTAAAGTTAAAAAAACAAAAACACACTTTAATGGCCACAGTTCTTAAATTTGATCAATTACAGTTTTGTTTAAACAAGTATGAATCACAGATAAAGTTATTGTAAAAGTTATTGTTAGAAACTGGAGAATGTTTTAACACTAAGCACAGTTAATCCTAAAATAAAAGGATTGTCATGGGGAGACGTTACATTTCATCCATAGTGACCATTTTGATGATGGGCAGAAAACCCGAGTGAAAACTGTTCGTGGTACAGAATGTGAAAGTAGGTATTCCAACGTGATGATAATCTTGCATATTTAGAAAACTCCAAATAACTTTCAAACTTCCTTGAAAAATAAGCCTCTGTGACTGTGGAGTGCTTGCCCTCAGTTCTTGATTTTATGCAGTCAGCACTTGTTTCTAGGGAGCAGAAAAGGGGCCAAATGAGTAATAAGATACTTTTCTCTTAAAAATGTTCCTAAGTTACATAAAATTGAGCAGTCATCAGACACTTATTTAGTGGTTAATGTTAAAGAAATTAGGGTGCCTTCTTCTGGTTTTTCTTTCTTACCTGTCTACACCTTTTCTCTCTTTCCACTGTGTTTTGAACTACACATTGCAATACTCCGTTGTCATGGAATACAACTTTTTGGTGTTTCCTGGTAGGTCAGAAGTTTCATGATTTGATTTGCCATGAACACCCACTGTAATGTTACGTGCCGCTTTTTTGAAACATGAACTCTGAATTAAGTTTTTACAAAATCTGACCAGACACCCCTCTAGATTCTCATTTAACAACGGACATCTGTTGCCTCTCAAGTCTCCATTTTAACAGTGCTTTTGAAGTTTATACAGAAAGCTTTCCAAGTTAGTTTGTGCCCTTGGTTTTTATTCTTACAACTGCTAAAATACCTCTGTAAGCCTTATCTTTTATTCTTTCATATGTTGTATAATAAATGTATAGAATTCATTGACCAACTAAACGTTGGGTGTCTGTAAATGAGACCAAAACATGGGTTGCTTTTTATCATAGAATCCTTTCCCTTGGGGGTTACTGTTAAGTGGACAGCAGCCAACCTGTAACTGTGAACGCTTCGTGTCGTCAGTATTTGCATTACATCCATAAACGCGTGCAAGTCCTGTGACTCCAGCTTAACTACAATACTGTTATGCCACCTAACTTGAGTACAGCAAACTGGTTTTAGGTTTTCATGGAATTGATGTAAAATGATATCCCATAAATAAAAAGTATTTGTGTTTGGTTTCAGAACTGACTTGTCAATTCTTTCTTCACTTCCCGGGCTTTTGCTTCAAAAACCACTTAAGGTAGTTCCAGAGTATTTTTATCTTTTATTTTCTCCTCTCCCTGCCCCCCCCCCCCGCCAATTCTTTATATTAAAGAATTTCAAAGCTACAGAAAAAAAAAAAACACGGAAGAATACAGTGAACACCCATCCATATACCTGTCACCCAGATTTTCTGCTCGTTAACATTTTGCCACCTTTTCTGTACCACCGAGTGTGTGGGTGTGTGCGCACGCACGCACACACACGCGTGCGTACGCCCTTCTCTGTGGATAGGTACGCTTGTTTCTGAACTTGAGAGTAAATTACATTATGAAGCTCCAGACCTCAAATTTTGAAACAGGGACATTTTTATAACCGCAGTACAGTGATCACACTCCAGAAATTTAACATTGACCCAAGACTATTACCTAATATACAGCACAGATTAAAATCTCTCTGTTTGTACCGATATTGGCCTTGATAGCAATTTTGTTTTCGTAATCTGGAGGAAAGCGTTGAGTCTGGCTGTCATTCCTCTTTAGTCTCTTTTAAGCTAGAACGGTTCCAGATGCAGTACAAACGCTCCTCAGCCAAACTGTGATAAGAAGATCTACAACCGCATGGTTATATATTTCTAAAATACTGAGCGGTTAACAGAGTGTCTACTATGTGCCAGAGCCGGACGGAAATGACCACTTTTACTGCCTCCAGCACTACCGTGCGGTTAGTCTCTAGCGTGTGTCAGTCCTGGTTACCGCTCTCTGAAAGTGTCTCACGTTAGAATATCCGCTCCCTGATGGCAGGACCTCTGGCCCGGAGTGGGTGTCCAGAAAATGTACGCGGAAGGAAGCAAGTCACACAGTTGGCACTTGGCAGAGAATTGCCAGGAGCTAAGAAACCTCACGTAAAGATGAGAAGATCCTCAAGGACTGATCCAGACTTTAAGACTCCCAGAAGCTTGAAAGTAAGACCGGAGGTCGAAGACAAGATTCCTATCACACAGAATCCAGACGTACTCTGTTTAAACTGGTGCTGTCGATGGTGTTTCAGCGATAATTTGGACCAAAAGCTGAGGATCAAATCAAGAAGATACTCTTGCAGACACCTACAAAGGCGGTGGGTGGAATGAAGGGAAGAGCTTAATTCTATATGGATAGTAAGGAGTGGGAGGTGGCCAGTGTTAGGACCGAGGACCCAACCTGGGATACAGCAAACAGCAGAAAACCACAGGCCGCTTCATCCAGTGCTACAAAATAGGAATATGAGATGTGTTTCTCTGGGCAATACTAGTCTATATGAAAATTCACAGGACTTGAGGGGTGCCTGGGTGGCTCAGTCGGTTAGGTGTCCAACTCTTGATTTCGGCTCAGGTCACACACAATCTCATTCGTGAGATTGAGCCCCACGTCGGACTGCCCTGGCAGCATGGAGCTTGTTTGGGATTCTCTCTGTCTCTGTCTCTCCTCCTCTCCCTCTCTCTCTCTCTCTCTCTCTCTCTCTCAAAAATAAACATTTAAAAAAATTCAGAGGAATTGAAATAAAGTTCTCCAGCCATGTAACAAACAAGGTAGACTGGGGAGAGAATAAATCACTAATGCCTGCTCAAGACAAAAAACCCAGCTGAGATGCGTTGCAGCAGACTTCCGAAGGAAAAAGGGTTACAGGGTGCACCTGGGTGGCTCATTCGGTTAAACGCCCAACTTCAGCTCAGAGCATGATCTCACAGTTCATGAGTTTGAGCCCTGCATTGGGCTCTGTGCTGACAGCTCAGAGCCTGGAGCCTGCTTCAGATTCTATGTCTCTCTCTCTCTCCCTCTCTGTCCCTTCCCACCCCCTCTCAAAAATAAAAAAAAGTTTGTAGGAAGTTTGCTTCAAGGGAAGAGCATTTTTAAAGACCACTTTTTGCAATAAGGGGATGAAGAGGAAAGTGAACTGAAAAATGACAAACACCCACAGGAAAAGACGGAAGGTCACCGAGTCCACCCCAGGGCTACAGAAGTGAGGAAGAGAATTAGCTACTTCTGGACAGCACCTTTCTTGCTTTCTTTGAACCAACAGGGAGGCAGGACGTGTTCTCTGTGGTGCAGTATGCATTAC